TTTCTTTTCTTGCATTTCTTTCCGATCATACAAAATACATATAGACATATATTTTCTACCAAAAAAGTACCCCCCCGTACGCGCCGCCCCTGCAACTGACCTAAAAATTGCAAGATACGTAGATAAGGATGTTACAAAATAACTGGCCCTGGCAAACACTTAGACGAGCTATAGGTGTTATACCATCTGCTATAGGTGTTATACCATCTGCTATAGGTGTTATACCATCTGCTATAGGTGTTATACCATCTGCAAGTAAATGTTTACCAAAACATCAGTAGCCAATTGGCCCATAAAGTGGAAATTTTAGGAGTCAATGCAGCCTCAATTTTACAGGCCAAACTAATGTGTGAACTGCCAAAAATTTGGCACCCCAGGAAATGTTGATTAGTGTGGGGTGGCAAAGCTGCACAAACATGCCAGGGAGGGAGGAGTTTTTAAATATTATAAATAAACTTTGCATTCTCAAGCAGACATAAGCCATTCATTCACTGACATCACACCATAACTCGCCATAATGTAACCAAATTGTACAATGTATTTTACAATGTATTTGTATACAACAATTACAATGTACATGTACATTGTAATATTACAATGTATATGTACAATTTTATTGTACAATGTATGCGTGTGTGTGCATGTGCACATGTAATCAATCAAAACATATATCCAATCAATTCTATAGAGCGAGTCTAGCAGTTTGTGAAGTCTTATTTTATTATTGCATAGTATTTGCATGTATTTTATTGGTTTGTACGTTACTAAAGTCTACTGTACTTGTTGTTAGCCTTTAAGTTCTGCTTTGCATAGGAATGGCAGACGAGATAGCTAAAGCTCAGGTTGCTACTCCTGGTGGCGACACGATTTTTGGCAAGATTGTGCGCAAGGAAATATCGTGCGAGTTTATCTATGAAGATGATCAGGTGAACTGTTACTTAACTGATATGAATATATTGTTTGTATGTGACCTGTCTGTGTTCACACTACGTGTCTTGTTTACCTATTCCAGATTGAAATTAATAGGAAGAACATCAATATAACTGTGATACTAGTATGCAAGGCAATGTGTAGACGTTTGTTTTTGTATGAAACTGAACAAATCTAATGAGTAGTTTTGTAAAATTTCAGTGTGTAGCTTTTCATGACTTGGCAGCGCAGGCACCCGTGCATTTCCTCGTCATTCCCCGGAAACCTGTGGTAGGGCTATCCAGGGCAGATGATGCTGATGAGCAGGTAAGATTCAAGCTATACTATATATTACAGAGACTCCCCGACTTACAAACATTCGAGTTATGAACATTCGATGATACGAACAATTTGCCCTGAAGTCCATTGGTGTATAATGTCAATATTGGTGAATAAAAAGACCCCCCCCTGATTTTGACTTTTGCCAACTCCTGTGTTCATGTATATGTTTAAACTATGTACACTTCTAGGTAACTCGGATGTTCACACGTACATATACTACACTAAGTACTGTACAATACTGTATACGTACGTACATATGTTCGACTTACGAACAAATCAACTTACGAACGACCGCTCGGAATCGAACCTGTGCGTAAGTCGGGGAGTCTCTGTATATACAATCAGAGGCCCATTGTCAGAACTGTCGTAAAGTTGAGGACAGTTACCGATATGATGATATACGTAAGGCTAAGACATGCACGAGAAAGCCTATTCTAAGATGGTCTTACTTGAACTGAATGTATAAATAATTGCCTTCTAGATGATGGGACACTTGCTTAACGTTGCTCGCAAGGTTGCTAAGCAGGAAGGCCTGCAGGACAACGGCTACAGGGTTGTTATCAACGACGGTAGTCATGGTGGCCAGTCCGTCTACCATCTACATGTTCATGTCCTTGGAGGACGCCAGATGGGCTGGCCTCCCGGCTAAGATCCTCCCTCTTCGATAGCTTAAAACTTGCGATGGCCCTTCCAGGAAAATTACATACTAGTGTGGAGCAGTCTGGTTAGTTACCCAGGTTACAGCAATAGACGTCAAAACATGTGATATCTATATATATTTGATAATGCCTTTCGACTAAAAAACGTGACGACATTGATTTCTTACCATCTAGTTTGTTAGAATTCAGTCAAGTAAAATAATTGTTTTAGTGTTTGGGGGAAATTTTTGGTGAAAGCAGTGTGTTTTCTGAGCTAGCTAAGATAGGGAGCCACATGATGGTCGAGGATCCTTATAGGTTAGGGACATTTCTCATAGCTCTCAGCTCCTTTACTCGTTCCACACCTCGCCACCAGATGTAAAAACTCAATAAATAATAATAAATAATAAATTTATTTAAAGCAATACCGTGCGTGCATATTTGCAAATTAATTAATCTAATTGCGCTTCAATAAACTCAATATTCACAGAGATTATAGCAAAGACATGGTGTCGATATGAATTTTGAGTTTTATTATCTTATTATTTATTATTATTCATTGAGTTTTTAAATCTGGTGGCGAGATGTGGAACGAGTAAAGGAGCTGAGAGTTATGAAAAATATCCCTAACCAAAAGAGCCATATCAGAAAGTCCCCGCCGCCATATTGAGATCAGATAAGAGGGGGCCGGTATAAGTTGAGGGGGTATAACATGGGTAGGATAAGACTATTCTAGGTTTTGATCTATAATTCTCTTCACTAACATCGAACTTCAATTCACATGTGCGTTTCTGTTTACATAAACACTTACAAATATGATTGTGGTCATTTGGGATATTTTGCAATGTTTGTGTTAATGCAAAAACTAAAAACG